AATTTCCTTAATTTGACCAAGTTTGCCCTTCTGAAGTTGATATAAGTTATTACTAACCTACTTCTGTTTGTTACTCTGTTTGAAGTAAATAGAAACAGTTGCTGAGTACTCAGCCTGCACTGCTATTTTCTACTACCAGCTTTTTAAAATGTCTTTGTTACTTAATATGTTGAGGCTGTGTCTTGTCTCAGTGACTACAGTCAACTGAAGAAATCTGGCAACTATCATAACCATGGCTAGCTGGGCCCAAATTTATTACTAGAAGCATTTGTTTCACAAGTGGTAGTGGGGAAGTTAAAGTTGACCATGGCATAATTCCCAGTAATGTTTCTATAATAACATTTCAATAATAGACCTCTTCTTGCACCTTTGCATTTTGACATCAGACAAGAAAGGCCAGGTTTAAATGAGGTGTAAAAAGCAGAACCAACCACTCCTCAAAAAACAAAGGCTGCAAACAGCTGGCCTAGGCTGCTGGAAGTGGCTCTTCCTGTTCATATACAATGGAGAATTTTATGATGAATTGAATGGTGATGAGCTGACTGACAGATGGCTTATTTTTAAAGAAATTGCAAAAATTGTTAAGTGTTTTCCTCTTGGCTGGGTGAAATATCTAAACACCGAAATAGAAGGAGTGTTGTATTAAGATTACAAATGTTTTGGATGCTGGCCTACAGATTATACTCACATGGGTCAGGTCTGGCTCCTGTTTGGAAGGGGAGGGGAGCAGTAGAATGAATGTCCCCTCCATGAGCTCTTGTGTACTGAGGAGACCACACCAGCCTTTTCTGCTCTGAGACTGCTCTCCTCAGCCTGCAGTGCCATGATAACAGGATTCCCTCTCCCATGCTGCCAGCCCTATTTCCTATAGGTACTTACTGGAGTCCTCTGACCTGTTGCAAGAGGAGACTGTTTGGCCCAAAGCAATAGTCATTATGTGATGGAAGCTGCAAGCTAAGTCAATCATGGGATGAAATGCATTCTAAAATCTCCCAGCTGTTTTGCCAAGAATTTGAGTACATCTTGAGCTTCTAAATATAAAAAACATGCAAAGTCCTCTTCTTCTTTGCCCACATCCTTCCCTTATTGCAGTTAGCTTGCTGTTTACATACTGTGAGGTTTCTAGCATTCTTGACTTATATAGGGTCCCTTAGCATTCCTAACCTTCTTGGGCTCTAATCATGATTGTTTGTCTCACTTTTATATTCCCGTATCTTATCCTGTATTGCTACATTATCATCATGTCTTCATGCATAGCCGCAGTCTGAAGAATACTTGGAGGAAAAACATGCACCTGTTCCCAGTTTTTTAGCTCTTACAAGCTAGTAAAGAAGTGCAGGCTGGTTAATGTCAGCCAAAGAAATGTGCCAAAAATGTGAAGGTGGGATGATATATACATGAGAGCTGCAGAAGCTGCCTTAGTGCTTGCAGTAATGGCTTCACTGTATAAGTGAAGCCTGCATGACACACTAAAGAAACTTGGTGGGCTGGAGGACAGAATAGGCTGTGCAGTGGGGAGTCAGAGGGAAAAACAGGGAAATTTTTTCATAAAATGCACAGAAGAAGAATCTGGGCGTTAAGCTGTGCTTAAAATGCAAAAGGCATCTCACATGCTGTATTGCTCTTGAAATGGCAGACAAGGAGCAGTGAGTCCTGCAGGGCACGGTGTTACTGTAGGAATGACAGAGCTACGTAAAAGGCCATGTATTTCATCTTCCAAAAGGAGCTTATGTTAGTGAGCCGAGCACATGATGCTGAGTAGGTAGGAACCCAGAGCCACAGAAGCAAGGACTGCTTGCTTCCTCTGAGCCCAGGGCCCTGCTGCACTCAGTGCTGTGGCTGTGACATAGCAACAGACTACAAATGAGTGTCTACCAGCACCCCGCCACCCCCTTGGTTGGTTGCTCTCTCCTGTGCACTGCGTCACTTCTCTCCTTCCCCCAAGTCTAACCCGTGCTAGACACCATGGCCAGCATTCTCTGTAAACAACAGCCTAGGTATGACTGCTACATATCTGTTAGACATGTGGGAAAAGAGGATCTAGAAAGGTCTGTTTCCTGCAAGGGGAAGAAATGTCAGCCCTCGTCCTCTGTCCCTGAGAGAAAGACTGTTCTCGGCACTGTGAAGCTTTGGTCTCTGTTAGCCTTGAATATGCAGAGGTGGAACCACACTGGTAATACAGGCAACAAGGAAAGTTGGCAAATATAAGTCTGAAACTTATCTTGAGTTCCATAAGACAGTGTAGTTTAGCAGGCATGAGGTAACAAACTGGAGGGAGGAATCTGTGGTTTAATGTTCTTCTTCATTCAGTGAAGAACACTAGCGGCTCACGATCCATTCTCCATAATTTTGCGAACTCACTCTCCTTCCTCCTTTAGTTTTGTTTACACCACTCTTCAGGTTGGTGTGTCTGACCACTTTTTGCCTCAGCACACTTTCAGTGAAGCACAAGGATGCTTAATCCTTACTAGATGATATATTTCTTTATGGGCTTTGCAGACGGTCTTATGTGTAGGTGCATACCTTGAGGTCTTCTTTTTGCTTGGTGGATGGTGCTTTCTGGTGTCCTCACCACTTCAGGTGGCACTGAACTTGCTGGTGGGGAGGCTGGCTCAGGATACTTGACTCCTAGGGTGGGCTTTGTCAAGTTGTCTCCTTGCAGAAAGTCTCTGGGAGAAACATCTTGCAACCACTAATCAGTGAGTGAACAAGCTACGTGAGGACTGGTGCTTAGCACAGCTCATGCAGTCAGAGCAGTGGTTAGCAGTTCCCTAGCACTTGGGGCAATGGGAATAAGAGAAGCTCTGTGAAACAGGGATGTGCTGAGTTATGTTTTGGAGCTCCATAACAGAGATTGGGCATGTGTGGGACTCAGGGCTGTTCTCGTGGTATGATAAAAACGAGATTGATGGTAGGCAGTAAGGCTAGAAAATGAGTGGGAAAGGGATGTTGTGATAGCGTGTATTTCTGTGTTTATGCTTAGAGTCATTAAGCTCAATTCCATTTTAATTATAGGATCAGGGGTGTATGGTAGTATGTGCACATTGCCAGATTACCAAATCATCTCACCGGATTGCAGCAAAGGAAATCACTTTCATGATGCTGCAGCTTTCCATTCTGTTTATTCTGTACTATGTACAGCTTTGCTTTTCCCATGTCCAACAGGTTTTCCTTTCATTTCCTGTAATTTTTCTCTTTGTTTTTCTCTCATTTTGCAAGCTGGGGTAGAATCTGGCTGTAACTTTTTCTCAGCTTAGCAGTGACTGAGGAGTGACTCCACTTATATAGAAAGGAGAAGAGGTTCTTTTAATACATGTATACTCAATGGTGAGATTATGACACAACGGTTCAAATGTTAGCAGTTTATTACAAATCCTAGTCACTTAGGCATGTGGGGAAGGGAAGATGGGCGACAGAAAAGAGATAGGAAATAAAAGCAAGGAGTCTTTGTAGAGAGCAAGAGAGAGAGTCACCACTGTGAGTCCAGTGAGGTTCATAGTAGGTCCGTTGATCTCAGGAACTCGTCCAGTCACCGAAGGGGATGGAAGAAAGCCAGGAAGCTTCACAGCAAGTAGGTCCTGGGAAGGGGAAGGGGGAATTCTTCCAAAGAGATTTTTCCCCTCAGGGAGTTCTCCATCAAAGGTTTCTTTGGGAGATTTTCTCCAAAGTCCTTAGCTTAGTGATGGCCTTTCATCCTTCATTTCTCAGGTTCTTTTTTTTTTCCTTCTTCTTTCCTCTCAGTTAGTGTGACATACTTGGCCCAACAGATAAACCAGCAGGGAGTGGTGCCTTTGTTGCCATGCACAAGCATTATCACCTTCTGCAGTGCTCAGCTCCTTCAAGCCGCACTCCCAAAAAAGACTGCTTATCCACTTCTGTTGTCTCTACACTCATAAGCAGAAGTACTGTGGCATGGTGGCAACCACCACTCACCCCCGTAGAATTCGCAGTTGTCAGTTAGAGTCTTATCACTGAAAAGGCCTCACAAAGCAAGTTTTCAGACAAAAAAAGTTTTGTCTTTCACAAAGTTTCCTCTGGCACGTAAACGTGACTCCATTTTATTTTAGTTATTGCTTTGCATTTAAAGGCTTCTGTGGCTTTTATGTTTGGTTTGGGGAAAGGGTTTGTGTCTCAGGGGAGTTCAATTTTGAACAGAAAAAGCAAAAAAAGATCTGTTGACTTTTGGTCATATGCATTGTCTTTGCTTGCAGGGGCATTCATTTGACTTCCTGCTTGTCATCCTTTCACAAAGTATTTTGTAGGCTACTCATTGTCAAATCATTGCTGATACTGTTTGTGTGCAATGGAATATATCCCAGAGAAGTGATTTCTTGTGCTTTCTTCAAAATAAATCTGTCAGTGCTACAATTTAGTTATTAACTTCTGGATTGTGCAGATCCTTTTGAAAAAGGCTAGGAACCAAATGCTGCAATTTTTTTGCACCACAGCCATTGTTCAAATTGGCACTTAAATCCTTGAATTCAGTCAGAGGTATTATTTAGATTACAACGAGCAGCAGTTTCCATTCTGCTGTTGGCCTTGGTTAGGTACAGTTGCCAGAAGAAACTGAAGTGAAAGAACTGTTAAGCAACTCTGTAATTACATTGTTTAACCATTGTGGTAGAATTTGGGATTTCATAGATTTTCTTTTATTTTCTTTATATATATATATATATATATTTCCAGAGAGAGATGTTTTCAGGTGTCTTACATACGTTTCTCTTCATTTCTTACTCACACACAGAGCCTCAATGCAAGGGAATCAGACTGTCAACAACAGGTCTTCTCTTGGGTTCTCTACATGGCCTGTGGACTTCAGAATCATAGAATGGCCTGGGTTGAAAAGGACAACAATGATCATCTATTTCAACCCCCCTGCCATGTGCAGGGTTGCCAACCAGCAGACCAGGCTGCCCAGAGCCACATCCAGCCTGGCCCTGAATGCCAGGGATGGGGCATCCACAGCCTCCTTGGGCAACCTGTTCCAGTGTGTCACCACCCTATGCATGAAAAACTTCCTCCAAATATCTAACCTAAGCCTCCCCTGTCTCAGTTTAAAACCATTCTCCTTTGATACCCCCTTAGTTTAAAATCACTCCCCTCTTCAGCTGCAACTATGAATTCTTTGCTCTTCCTAGACTTACACACATTGTGCAAGACTCCCACAGAATCCACAAGCCAGCTGCTGTCTCCCTCCCCAGAGACCTATACTGTGCTGTTATTAATACACAAGCTAGCTGATGTGAAGTTAGTTCATGCTCATGAACTCATGTGCAAAAGATGCAGCTGCAGCATAAGCATCCTGTCAGGAACAGAGACAGGAATAGTATCCATTTCCTCAAGGTTTCCTATGCTCCTCTGCAGTGAATTGTCCCACTATCTTGTGCTGTAGAAACCTGGCACATCCCTAAGCTGGCCCATCCTGTGTCTTGAACAAAGGATGTGCCTCACCAAGCCAGTAAGGCCAAAGTGACATAGTGCTGGGCTGTGTAATTTAAGCCTGTCGGGAAGCAAACACGTGCAAGGGGATTGAGGTGAAGTAATACAGCCAGTCCTCTGCTATTTCCTAACTTATGACTCCTTCATTGTGCAACCATAATGTTTTTTTTATTCAATTGTTTTTGTGCCCATTGGGGTGAATTGAAGGGTGTGGGCAGAAAAGACGAGAGGTGAAAGGAAAAAGATAACAGCAGCATTAATAAATAACATTAGAAGGCAGATATTTTAACTAGATGCTTTGAAGTAGCATTGTTTTGTAAGTGCCAGGGTGCGAAAGGTAAAGACCCAAGGATTCTCTCAGGAGAAGGGATCAAAAGTATGAAGGTATTTTCAGCTCAAGGCAAAACAAATTACAACAGCCTGAACTTTGGTTCACAGCCCAGAACACGCTAAAGCCACCTCGTTTGGATGCAGGGTTGGAGAGTCTCTTAAGAACAGACCAAATTTCCCATCTTTTAGCTGTGATGTCATTGCACGTACATTTAGATCATACTGAAGTTCTGCTTCCTAGACTCCACCCCTGGGCACTCTCTGTACTTTCTGAGGCTGACCACAGTGATGGCAACGGTAACCACCAAAAATACCCAGAAGCTGCACTTCCAATGAAGGAAGCAATGCTCTCTCATATCGCTACAGCACACTCCTGATGCACCACGTAGAAAAAATTACAGATCAGCAGCGCTGAGGATCGTGATGTTTGAGGCAGGAAATGGCAACGACAGGAAAGGACAATTAAAATATTAGCAACCCCTCCGCTTTCCTGTAGCGCGGTACAGCCCCCATCACAAAAATACAACACGGATGCAGCACGTGCTTTCAAAACAAGGTGATTTTTGTCGTTGTTTTATCCTTTGCCGCTGGCAGAGCCTTGCAGCGAGCAGAGACTTTCCAGGAACCCCCGGCTGTCACCGGGCCGGTTACACAGGGTGGCACAGGTGCAGCCCTGTTCTGCAGCAGCTTTCTAGAACCAGTTCCTCTCCCGGTGACCCGTGGGCTTTCACGTGGATGGCAATCGGCATGGAGAGGCAGAACCCTGTGCCCCTCAGCTTGCTTGGCTTTTCAGTTTTTACCTCTCACTTCTCAGGCGGGTGCACTGCTTCCACTCGCTGCCCAGGCTTGGGTCAATGCTTTCCGCAGGTGGCTGAGCGGGCGGGCAGGAGGAAACAGCAGTCGCTGTAACCGCAGCCGGTGAGGGAGGACGTGCGGGGGATGGAGCAGCGCGGTGCCTTCCCTCACACGAGGCTCTCCTCCCCTGGAAGGCTTCGATATAAGCTGAGGAGGAGCTTCAGCAGACGCGAGTCAAACACCACTTCCATCCTAACGCACAGCATGCTTCCTTCCACGTTTTCTTTTGCAGGTGAGGCTCAGCTGAACGAAGCCCCGCTCTTCTTCCTCATCATTACCGTAAGCGTGCGGAAGTCGGGCTGGAGCTGTTTGCAGCCGGTGCGGCCCCGGTAAGAAGCTGCACGTTATCTTTTCTCTGCGTTTTGATTTGATTAGAAGTCCCTTTCCTGTTGGCAATCGGTGAGTGGATGCATTTGCTGTACGGAGCCCGCCTAGCTTTGTGCTCTGCTGCGCCGGCTCAGAGGGTGTTGCACCCACAGCAGCTGGCGAACAGAGCGCTGGTTTCCCGATGGGACATCTCTTCGCTCTCTTGCGTTGTGTCAGCTAGGGAGCTCCCAGCTACCCTCAAGTAAGTTTACAGCTTTAGAGCCTCCTCCCGGTACGCGCCAAAAGCCGCTACTGCTCCGTGTAAGTCACCCGGCGTTCAGAGGCAGAGCCGTAAGGGCTGACGCCGCTCCGCGCGTCCCTCGCCGAAAGCACTCCGGGAACTGAACGCTCTGCCAGAGGGACGGAGCCTGCCTCCGCAAGCCGTCTTGAAGGCGAGCTGCACTCGTAATTGGCTCGAGCTGCCGAGATGAGATGTCCCAGACCTTTCCCAGAGGTCCTCGGAAACTTCCTGGCAAAGCCGAGCTCCGCGCGCTCAACCACGCCGTGGGGCTGCCGCCGGGATGAGCGCCGGCGCCGAGCGGCGGTGACGGAACAGCCTGCGACCCCCGGCGGCTGCGGGGCCCCCAGCCAGGTGGGGCAGCGGCGGGGGGCCCGGGAGCGGCCCCGTAGCCCCGCCCGACGGCGGAGCGGCGGAACGCGGCTCCCCCGCGGCGGCCCCGCTGCGGGGCCGGGGCGGCGGGCGGAGTCCCGGGCACCATCAGCGCCCGCCGCCGCCGCCTCGGGGCACCCCCGGCGGGCGGTGAGTGCCCGCGGCGGGCGGGTAACGGGCCGGGAGCGGCGGGCGGCCACGGAGGGCTCCGTTCGGAGCCGAGAAGGGAGATCCGCCGCTGCTGCCGCTAAGCCGCTCGTACCGGTAATGCCGCCGTGAGCGGGGCTGTCGCGGGGCGCCGGGAGGGAGGCGGCGGCTGTGAGAGCGGCCGGAGGCCCGGCGGGGGGAGAAACAATGGCTGTGTAGGTGCCTCTGCCTTGAGCTGCGCGAAGCCATTAGTTAGTGCTGCGTGTGTGCTCGGGGTGGAGGGAACGTGCCGTGGAAGCTTCGTGCTGCCTGCTTTTCAGAGTCTCCGGGTTATTGTGCTGAGTTATTATTCAGCGGGGGGGTCGGCGTTTCTGTTTTAGCTGCTGAAAGCCGTGTGCTCAGCCCCGCTGCTCTTCCTCAACTTCAAATTTCCATATAGAGGAGCGGGATCTCTTCCTGATCCGCAGTTGGAACCAAGGCTGGTGGGAGCTATCTGTTGCTTTGCGTGCACGTTGAGCTCCTGTTACCCTGCTAAAACCTCGTTTGTTTGGTGTCTCTCTCCTATACTGACCCTATGCAGAGCTATTCATAGGAACAACGTGGCTGCAGAGCTATGTCAGAAGGACAGTGCTGTGGGATGAGATTACTTGGTGTAACCCGGCAACTCCTGCTGCTGGATGGTAGACAATTCACCGTGTGTAACAACATACACACTTCTAATGTGGAGAATGTGGTTGTACCAGACCTGTCAGTCCAAAATTTTGAAAACTAAGTTCAAGGAGGACGTGGAGACAAAGGAAATGTGCGTGTGTGCAGCTTCTTACCAACCCATTTCAGGAGAAGAAAATATTCTTACCTGATTAGGTCACAGATGTGATGTTTCTGAAGGAAAAATATGTCTGTATTTATGTTAGATTGCATCAGCGACAGCTTGTTTTTCTTCCCACCTACGTGGAATCAATCCATGGATCTTTCTGTCTGGCCTGGTGAGGTGCTTGCATCTGTGCTGAGCTGAAGCAGTCAGTGAGGTCATTCTTCAGGCCTATGATAACTGCTTATGAAAAAAACCAGCAGCAATAAGGACCACGGGATAGGTCCCGTGATCTCCCCGAGGGTCTTTCTAGCTGCGAGAGACCCTTTCTGCATGTGGAATGTATGAGTCACCCCCTGAGGCTCCCGGTATCCAGGCACTCCTCTGTCTGAAGCAGACAGCTGCCCTGGGGCAGTGCCCATGGAGTGGCTGCAGGGTGGGACAGGGCAGGGCAGCGAGACCCCAGAGCTGTCTGTGGGATCACAAGGGCACGAACTGTAAAGGAAGGAAGGAAATAGGTGAGTTGTGATGTTTTGGTTAGATGAGGAGGTGGGCAAGACATCGCTTTGCTATCTACCACGTGCACTGCTAAATAGAGGCTTTAGAAATTACATATGGGTGTTGCCTCCCTCAGAAGGAAAATGCAGTAGCCCACGTAGTGAATGATCCCATTCACAGAGCCAAGTGCTCGAGGTCCTTCTCCTTCACTTTTTCCTCTGACTTTTGAAAAGTTGCAAGCAGAGATGGTCTTAGAGGGCTTCACGTGGTAGTTTTCTTCTTTGTGTGCTCATTTTTGTGTGGAAGAGCAGTAGTCTTTGTGATGCCTTCTGTGTACCATGAGTACTTTTTATCCTGCTCTCATTTTTGGTGATGGTTTCCGGGTGTTCTGGTAAATATCTCTCAGTAAAAAGACTGATCTGTCCTTCCAAGACAGCTTTACAAGAGTTCTCCCAAGTCTGCCTTGGCTGGTTTGTGGTTTTCTACCCTCTGTGTGTACCTTCACGTGCTGCTGGGCATTCTGATTCAGGTGCTTTGCCTGGAAGAGGATACAATCCACTGGATCCCTTACAGATGTAACTTGAAGACTGCTGTGAGTCTCCATGAGGCTGTCCACACCATTGCCTCAAAGGGGTCTGTAAGGAAAAACTCTTTATTTTGCACAGTATCTTTTGCACAGGATCTTGTTTTGTTAATCTTTGTGCCTGAAGATCCAGGTTATTTTAATTACAAGCCTGATTTTTATGCTTTTTTAATTGTTGTAAGAGTATGAGATACTCTACTCTGGCCCCAGAATTAAGGGCATTTTAGGAACAGATTCCAGATGACTTGAAATGTTTTCAGATATCTTTTCTTACAGATGCTTACAGTATTATAGCATAACAAATGGAAATATGCACTGTGTTTTTTAAGAGTGTAATTTACTGAGATTGTGGCAGCTCAGCTGTCATTCATTTAAGTAATATGTTCTTTATTTGTGCTAGTTTTATAGAGAAGATGGTGAAAAATATTGGGAAATTAATCTGAGGTAACTGAGTGTAGAGGGTTTTTTGGTCTATTTCAGAGTTTCTATTTTCTGCTATCTGTTTATGTAAAAGCCCAAGAGCTTAGCAGCAGAACAAGAAAAAACCCTCAACTTTCCCATTAATCCAGTTTTCTTTCTGCTTCCACTTCTGCAGTGTTACGTATTACTAACTCTCTACTATTTGTAATCTTCAGGGGGAAATAAAATACAACTTTTTCTTCTTCTTTCCCTTCCCCCTTAATGGTGTGCGAACTTCTGTAGGTGTTAAATCTTCCTATCTGCCTTTTATCCTCATCCTACAGAAGAATCTGAACCCTCAGCTTTTCACAGTGGTTGCTGAGGTTGGAGGGAAACATCACGTGCAATCTGCAGTTGCCTTTGCAGGTCACCTTTCCGCAGTGCATTGAAATTAATCTGCTGCACTTTGTAGTTCGGTGTTTCAATCACTGCTATCGGTAGCTGGTCTTTGTGCAGGAAGCTTGAAGGGCTGAGGAGTGATAGGCAGCGTTCACCGGTGTGTGTGCTATTAAATAGAAATAGAAACACAGAGCTTGCTTGTGGTATCACTGCCTTTTTGAATAAATGTACGCGCAGATTATGGCGAGACGCTTCAGTAATGCCATGCTCAGGATGTATCGCCTATGAAACATCATGTCCTTAAAAATTCATTTTGTTAGGGTGGAGTAGCTCCTCAGTGTTCTGAATACAGTCATAACTTACACTTGAGGGCAAAACCGAAAACGTTGGTATCTCAACAGGAAGATCCTTTACAGCACTACTACAGGATGGGTGAATTTTAAGCATCCCCTGGATAATAACTGAAGTCTCTGTGTGACTGTTTGTGTTATTCCACTCCCAGCCCCAGCAGCAGCAGTAAAACCCGAGTGCATTGTACTGGAGCTATTATTTACATTCCAGCATCCATGGGGAGCCAGGAGGAGCAAGGCAAAAAGTTGAATAGCCCCCATGTGCGCTGGCTGGGGAGGAAGGGCTGGAAAACTTGAGAAGCCACAAAGCTGATCCTCCCTCCTTTAGGAGGAGGGACAGAGTAACCAAGGGGCTGGTTTTAAGACCAGGCAAGAATGAAATGAAGTTCTTACTACATCAGTGAAGCTCTCCATAACATCTGTTGGTTCAGAGTGCAAGTTACCATTTTCTTAGCAGTATTGCTTTCTTTTGGGACACTAGCCAATAGAAAGCTATTTGGGAAATGGGTGACTAGCAGTCTTAGATTTCCATAGGCCCTTCAACTCTCTTTTAAAACAATGTTTTCTCACCCTTGAGAGTATGAGATGGAAATGTGAAAATGAAGATCAGCTGCTGCAGAGCTCAGAGCAGCTTTTTGTTAAGCTGGATCTGCAGGCTGGTGCTTCTCTTGCACAGCAGTAGCCTGGTGCTGCTTGCTTGCACTCCCACTATTCTCAAAGCCCTCTGGCCAGCAGTGAAATGAGAGTGGAGTGAGGGGCATGTCATCAGCTTGGGTAGAGTCCTGAACAGAGGTAGGCAGTGAAAACATGCATACAGAGTGGCTGTTTAATGGTGTGTGTATGTGCCTGTGTAAGATATCATACAGGAGGCAGGGGAGGAGGAGTCCTTTTTCCAAGGATAAGAAAGGAATGGAGGTTGTGTCTCTGATACATCTTTTTTTTTTTTCCTCCTTCCCACTGTAGGTGTTGACTTACGCAGCTCCTTTCTGTGCAGACTCATTTTACTGCTCTGTGTTGTGCTGATGCAGTTTTTTGGCTACGTGGTGACCTGTGTGGGAGAAATGATCTG